TATATTTAAGATGATTCTTAACATAGACAGAGATGAAAGAAACATTATTATGTCAATACAAAAATCGTGAAAGATTGAAAGAGATATTAAAGAACGTACCACTTGAAACTGGAAAATTAGCTGAAAATACACAACAATTCTTTAGTTTGTACAATGAATATGGTGGCGTATCTGGTAATATATTATTGAATATATTTATATATATATATAAATATATTATTTAATGATATTTCTTTCTTTTCTCTAATTTATAAATAAGCATATACGGATGAGCAAGAAAAAATTAAACAAAGTAAAATGCATAAAACTGAAATTTGTCAATCAAAAAAGAATAATATGGTATGTCATATTTAATTCTTTATGAATTTTTATTAGATGATAATGAGTTTTTGATAGGAATATAATGAAAAATATTATTATTAACAGTTAAAAGCATATCGATCAAAAATGTTTCATAAAATTACTTATGAAAAGAAAATAATGGCAATATTGTTTGGAAATACGATTGATAACAATGACAACATTATTCACACTAGTAATAATCCTTACTGTTTTAATGATGAAGAAAAGAAATCATTAAATGAATTATGTGAGAAAATTTTAATAAACAATTCAAATATTTTTACATAATTTATAATATGCGTCATATTTTATAAAATGGACCGTGTTTATTTTGAGTGTGGTGTAAGTCCATTTAAAAAAAAAAAAGAGATATCACGTTATTTATGCTTAATTTAATGTAAACTTTTAGTTAATATTTAATTTCGTAAACAGTGTCCATGTTTTGTACAATTTAAAATTGATCGGTAAAAGAAATTGAGTAATCATTGATATGAAAACCTTTAATTTTCTCGAAACAAGAGAAAATAGACTTACACCACTTTCAAAATAAATTGTCCAAATATTGGGGGGACCTGAAAGTAATGTCATTTTTTTACATTAAATTCAAGCATGCTGTTGAAGTACACAATGAGCTGATAAATAATAAATGCAATTGATACGCGCAGAAACGACATTATTTTTCGGTCCCCCTCACAATAGGTACTACAAAATGGTGTTACACATAAACATTGTAAAAAGCCTATAAAACATATGCTATTACCATCAAATACAAGTAATACAAATTTAATAAATGCTTCAGTTAACCATTTATCAACAATAAATACTTTACAAAATGTACATAAAAACATTCTAATTGAATTATTACAAGATTCAAAAATAATTATAGCTTCATTAACTGACGGTAATGAAAAAAGACAAATAACAGCGGCTTCTAAAGAAATAATATACATTTGAAATCTTATATATGCATATACATATATTATATCTTATATAAAATGAATATCTTGTATTTTCTGCTATTTATAGAAAAATTAAAAGTTGAAAATTTGAAGTTAAATAGATAATATTTTATCTTATAAACTTATGATTCAGTCATTTACAGGCAACAAAAATTACTTCCATGTTTATATTTTTTTTCAAATAATAGTACCAAAGTGCTTCAATGATGTTAAATTTTTTTCATATGTAATAATGAGCTTAACAAAATCTTGTATGGCTGTTAAATATTGTATAAAACTTAATTAATTTTCTGGAATGAATCGTTTTGACCTGTAAATGGCTCAATTAATTCATTGTTATGACAATACATTCATATTCTGTATGAATACTTTGCAACTATGTAATTTGATAAATTTAAAATGAATCATGTGCCTCTATCTCAAATATGTAGTAATAAAGATAACTACATAACAAATATCTTAACCGATAATGTTATTAACTTAATGCTGGAGAATCTTATAAAACGTGATTAATTGCTTATGAATTAATTTTATCAAAAATCAACTCTTAGGATAATTATATTTACAATATATTTATAAAAACATATATATTATTTCTAAACATTAGAAAATCACAAATTTCTATCGCTATCTTTATTGCAAATTATCCTTGAAGACAGTGAAAAATCATAAAAATAAACAATTACGAAAAAGATGACAATGTATGATTCACATTTTACAAGATTCTACTCAAATTATAATTCATTAATTCATTGCCAACTATGTGGACTTTATCAGACTATACACTTTCCATYGCCAATGGAATATAATTAAACACAATATATACAATTCCACACTATTCGGTAATGTGTCAAATATATAATATTTCCTTAATTTCAATTTCTTCTATATATAACTTTCAATGCATTATTTTATTAAGTCTTTCTTTTTGTTTTTATCCGAAACCGTGTATTTGTCATAACTTTTGGTGGGATCGAAAGGTTCCCATCTGCTGGCAGGAAATATATGCTTATTTCTTTCATACCATGACCTAAAATATACATAACAATAATCATTATTATTTCATCATTACTTATATTCAAAACATTTAGTTTATTATTACATATAAAATAACATTCAATTTATATATGGTGAACAAATATACTACTAGGAAAAAAAACTTACCTTAATAAAACCTTGCCAGCATGCGACTCTTCAGTTTCAACAGATGCATCATGCATAACTCTGATATCATCGTGAACGTCAAATGTAAAAAGTGGTCCACTCTTGCCTCTCGCCTGTAACAAGAAAAAWATATATAGAACATTTTCTCAATACTTAAMGTATAACATATATTAGTATATGTTAAAAGATATATATAAAGATCGTGACARTAAATACCTTGGTGACAATGAAGTCATAAAAAGTATAATGATGCGGTAAGATAAGATCCTCTTTGACATACATCAATTGATCTGCCATTACAGTTTTGAGTTCACTAAATTCACGCCTTAAAACTTCCAGACATCTTTGAAGTAGTTGATAAATCGAATTACCTATAAATAATAATAACTAATATTGACTAATATGAACTTTTACTGATTTTATGCAAATATTTAAAATTAATGCATACAAAACTATGATATTACAAATACTTTCTACTACTTACCTTTCTTCATAATGACACTACGTCTATGACCAGATCCATCCCAATAACTGAAAGTTATTTCTATTTCTTCTTCCTTTAACGCATTTTGTTTTTGCGCCCATTCTTGTCGCAGTTCTTCTCTTAATCTATTTTCTTCTTCTTCTCTTTCTCTATCAGGCAAAAAGCTTGTATCCACATCAGGATTCTTCTTAATTCTTTTAACAATTGGACCATTAATCTCATTCTTTGACTTTTCAGACTTATCAGAATTTCCATCTGATTCATCGTCTAATTCTTCAGATTCTTCATCCAAATTAAACGATAAGGCTTGTATTTGTCGTTTCTGTTTATTTTTCTCTGCTTGCTTTGCAGCTAGTGCTCTTTCCTTCTCTTGTTCCTTTTCTTGTTCTTTTTGGGCAAGTTTTCTTTCGCGTTCCTTCACTATGTTTTCTTGTTTAGCTTTCATTTCATTCAARGTAACAAGACCGATGGTAGATGTTTTCAATTGCTGTTCCACTGCATTGTAATGAGTGGCAAATTTGTTTTCTATATTATGAATTTTCAGATCATCTTCTATTTTCTTTTTTCTCAATTCTATTTCCTGCTGTGCAATCTCACGTTTTTTCATGAGTTGCATGGCACGACCAGCTTCACTGGCAGCTCCTTTATAGTGAGCCATTTTTCTTTACAAAAATATATTTGTGTATAAAATAACAAAATTCTTTTTATATCAAAGTCTTTATAACCTTAAAGATTTATGATACTTTTGTTTTTCTGTTATACTAAAGACATTAGTTGCCTTAAACAGATTCACTGTATTTTTTATTTACACTAAATAAATAAAAAATAATTTTAGCACAGTTTAATTCGACAATAATAGTATTACTTTGTTATAAAAACAAATCCAAAATATTCCTTCTTTTATATAAACGTAAATGTAGATCTAAAGAAGAACAGAAATCATATGTGACTAACAGACAGTGATCTCAGAGACTTTAGTTCGTCTGATCGACACAGGGGCGTAAAATTATCGTACACGCTAGGGATCCTGTAGGAGGGATGCGCCATGCATATTCAGCTCATGTGCCATTGCTGAAAATTTTGGGGGACCGCATGAATTTATAATAATTTTTTCGTGTAACCTATTCTATTTTAATATAAATTTTTAATTATCATTAAATATAGTTCATTTTTTTCTGTATTTGATGCAACTCATTATTTCATAATTATTTTAATGTTTGAATCATTCGCGCACAAAATCGAGTTCCGGTCCCCCAGCAGTGTACATGGCGTATCCCTCCTACAGGATCCCTAGTACACGCCGGAAAATTATCGTACGTCCCGGGAAAAATTTGAAATCCGATAATTTCTCCGACGAGAAATTCCAAAGGGTTATATTATTCTTCGTTAAAGGATGTTGTATAATAAAATAATAAGTTTTCACATTCCATCAGTAAGTCTTGATACTATACGCATTGAATATATCTGACTTGTGAAATAGATTTTTTGCTTTACTTTGCTTCATCATTTACAAGTATCTTAATGTGCACTGTAGTCTTTAATGCTATCTTATTTGAGAATATTGGTTATGGGAAAAATTGATTTCATTCTCGACTGGTTTTTCATTTTCAAAATTACCAACGTACAAATACTCTACGATGGTAAAATGGTATTATGTCTAATAATCACTAAATCTTCATGACTTTCAATTCATTAGATGTTATTAAATTCGAAAAAAAGAACATTAAAAAACGATTTTATCTATTTGTTTAACAGGCAAGCCTCCCAATTTATACTACTTCCATGGTTACATAGTACATCAATAATTGATTATCACCAGGAAACATTTCCAACTGGACAGTATTAATATATGTATTTGTGAAGAGTATGCAAACATAATATTACTTGATAATTTATTAAGAAGTCTCGTTACATGAACATAAGTCAAAAATATTGAATAGTTATTGACAATATACTCATGTTTATCGTAAAATATTCTATTTTTTATGACAATGTAAAATGATTTAAAAATTTTTGGACAGTATTTAATAAGACTGAAGATCAAATAATTTTACATACTTCCTAATGTTTTTGTTTAATCAAGGGTGATTTGTACATATAAATTGTACATCTATTTTTCCAATGAAATAGTTTTTGTACATTTACTCTAATGTGCACAAAATTTGTACATAATGTTAAATAATTTCTTTGATTTCGGAAAGATAATAATTTTATATTAAATTATGAAACTTCTTTCATTCAAATTACAACATAATACAGTACTACTTAAATTAAGAAATTTTCAAATCATTTATTAATGAAATGATAATCAAATTCTTTTTGTTTACTTACATATATTAAGTAGTTAAATGTAAGAATTATATATATTGAAAAAATTCTTTTATAATTTTAATGTATTCTTGAGCACAGAACACCTAATATTAGTTAACATTAGTATCGCAGTATTTTTAAGCCGTATAAGTATGTTACTGCTTAAATAATTGTTATAAGTTAATTGTATCGAACCTTCCCATTTTATATATTTTTCTATGTCACCTAAGTTAATGTATATACCATTTAACTTTATTTTCACTCAGTCGCTGATAAATTACTGTTAACTAGCAATACATCATTACTCATACGTTAAAAAAAAACATATTATAAACTCAGACTTAAGACTTGTGATTTTAAAAAATTTTTAATATTTAATTTATTACTGGAAATGTTTATATTACATTATCTCTTTTATTGTTGTTAATTTATATTGTTTATTACGTGTTCAGTCCGTCTTATGACTGCTTTTGCATATCGAAATATGCTAATTGAAAGAAATAAATTATTTTTTATAGCGAATAACAATGTTTTAATACATTAATTGATTAAAGGTTTCTATGATTTATTCTAAAAATTTGTTAGATGCAAAAATTGATTACTTATAGGGGAAAAATTTTTTATTATCGTTTTGCTCTTGATGAATTTTTGTACTCTAATTTTAAACACATTCATTTATTTATTTCTTTGTTTTTATTTGCTTATGTATTTTATATAACATATGATTCTTTCTTCTTATAATTATATATTTACTTTTTTTTTTAATATTTATTAAGTAAACGTTAAAAAATGTTCCCCAAATATCATTATATGTTGTTTCCTACTTTATGAGGATTTTGCAAAGCGCGCTATAACTTAGCGGAAGTTTTTCTTTTCTTGTTTATTTCTCAATCCTACTCTAATAATGTTTGGCGCTTCCTTTAAAATTTACCCTGATGCTAATGTGGCGCTACTCTGATTTAATGCATTTCGACGGACACTTTTTCATATATACAGATGATTCCTTTTACCTCTACCCTCCATAAAAGTGACAAGGACTTCTTTGGCCAAGAAATATAAACAAATTAATGACGTAAGTGAATTATTTAAAATAATTTCTTTTAGGAAAAATTATAAAATTGTCAAAAAAAAGAAAATAATGACGTTTGCTCCAAATCTAAAATGAAAATATTATAATGTTTTAGGAAAGAAATCAAGGCATTGAAAATTCAAACCATCCTGCAAAAAACATAGATTGTACACCTGTCCATAATGTGCTTATTGATGAAAGACAAAATGGTCAAACATCAGCATTTTCATTGAATCAAAATTTAATTCCTTGATTCCTAGATCCATTTCATGGATTTTATAATTTAAAAATTTTTTTCTATTTTTTTCCTGAAAAGTACATTTAAAAACAAAAATTAAAAAAAAAATGTCTCAATAGGTTGAATTTTGAAGAAGTTATAGCCATTTAAAAAAAAAAGAGCCATTTTTTCAAAAATTAATAATTTTTTTTGGGTTTGATAAAAAAATTTAAAAAAATTCGTAAAATTGCTTTTCATAGGGTAGAATAGAATAAAAAACTTTCAGCTAAATCGAAAGGGGTCGGGGTCAAAAGTGGCCGATTTGACGTAGAATGCCCCATATATATATATATATATATATACATACACATATTCATATGTAAAACGCGTTATTCCTCTCTATCATCTTTCGTCATTTTTTTGAAGCGTTATTCTTCTTAATTTTTCTTTTCTTTCGAATCCCCACTTCCAATCTTCTCGGATGACAATTGATCGTATGATCGTTCTGCTTTTGTTCACTTACGCCATAAGCACGCAGCGCCGCACATATCGCACACGCACACACACAAATCATTCTCATGTACTCCTACTCAACTATCAGATCACGACAAAAGAAAGAATATTTTCCTTAATTTTACTTCCGACAAATTTACAATAGCTCAATCATTTTTCACTATTTTCGCTTCAAAAAAAAAAAAAAAAAAAAAAACTGTAATTACTTAAAATATATGTAATTTAAATTGTATAATATATTTTTTTAATATATAAAATCTGTCATCAAAAAAAAATTCCGAAAAAAGCGTTTTTTTTTTGCATTTTAAGTTTTTTCTTTTTTTCAGATAATAAGTTTCATTTAGGCGGTATGAATAAAAGGCTATACTATTACTGTTGGTGAAAGATTTGAAAAATGGAATTAGATATATGGGTTCCTGCATTGATATTTCCTAAAAATGTAGATTTCGAAAATAAAAAAAAATGTTTTGTTTTTTTTTATCTGCATGAAAACCAATGCCAAATTTTGTTTCTCTACGCTATTAAGATACTATTGATAAAAAAAGTTCTTCTTTCGAAGACTACTTTACTCAGAATAACTGATAATTGCTCATTATTATTATTGCACACACGGTATGCAATCGGTCTCAAATGGGTTTAAACAGAATAGCGTTTAAACAGAATATTAAGAAATCTAACCTATTAAGATTGAATCCCTTTCAACAATGTAATAGCTAATCTATAGATTAATTAATTTGTTCTTTTAAAGTGCGGAATCAAGAGTTTTCTGCATTTTACTATGTTACATCTTTCTATTTAATTAAAAAAAAAAATAATCTTTAGATTACACCAGTGGTTCCCAAAGTATGCGATGACGACCACAGGTGAATTTTGGGGGTGGGGGAAATGAACTACTGAAATGGAAAAAATGTCATCGGARGCCGACCCGCGCTTCTATAATATTACGCTACACAACAATGCCACGGTATATCGATACTGTGTCAATAGTAATAAGTTATTGRAAAGAAATTCTCTTATTTCAGCTTTTCTGTTTCTTATCTTCGCGCCCGGTGGACCTGGTGAGCGATAAATCGGTCCAGGGGGGCAATGAAAAGATAAAAACTGGCAATTTTAAGTGTGCGAGTGTGCAATTAAAAAAAAGTCATGAGTACAATGAATACATAATTTTTCTCATTTCTCATTATCACCACAGTTTCAGTTACTAAAATAAAGGTCACAAAATAAAGAAATTAAGAAATTAAATTTCAAGGGGCTATAAGCAATATTTTGTTAGGAAAGGGGGCGATAGGACAAGAAAGTTTAGGAACCACTGGATTACACCAATAAATGTAATCTAAATTTAAAAAAGTGTAATCTAAATAATTTTGTCATACGTTTTTTAAATTCATCTCTTTAATTGTAATAATTTTTTAAATCATTTGATTTTTTTATTATAGTTTTTAAATTGATTAGTTTTAATTGATTGACACTAATTTGTTAATTGTCTAATTGTATTACCTTAATCCTTTAGATATCAAAAAATAAATAACATAATATATTAATTAGCTGTGTGTCCTGTCGACAACGCTGTGTGCCGCGTTGTTGTGGCTCAGTCTAATTAACACGTTGAGCACCACGCTCATTTTTAAGGAAGTCACAGTCAGGCCACGCGCGCTGCTTAGAAATATAATGTTATACGCTGTCAGGCAGCAGTGGCTGACGCAGCCTATACGGAAAGTCAAGTGTCCGCCATCGTTGGCGGACATAGTGTTCAACGTGTTAAGGGGGTATTCTGGTCTAGAAATTGGAAA